TGGTTAAAATCAGCTGTCACCAGTAACAGGCTTAGTACAATGGTGAACGCGTTACTATGAGTTTCTAGAAGCAATCGAGACGAGACATGGGTCCTTTTCCTAACCTCTTTTCATATAACACTCGCGTAGTTGAGACCTCCGTTGCGCTATGCATCTTCCTCTTCCTCGGTGACTTTTGCAACGACGGCACCAGCCCCGTGAAAATCCCGACTTACTTGTACATTGGAAGAAGCCCGTCGTACGTAGCAAAGTACTTATATCGTTCCATTGTATTCCTTTCCGTTCGAAAGCGAGACGATCTTTAGCGGGCGTAGACTCGAGAACCCGAGAAACTCTGTTCTTCGCGAGAACCTAAACGCATAATCATCACGCTCCTTCCTTTGATTTACCGTTAAGGGCAGAGAGTCCACGAGAGAGGCACAACGATCGCTGTCACGCTTCCAGAGGAATCGAGCCCGATATCCTAGGCACCTGTCGCCTCGGACCCGTGGACAGAACGAAAACGGAACGTTTGAACGCGAGCAAACGCAATCAAACCTGTCGACGGTCGGGATCTATGGTGATCGTCGCGTGACGGTGTCAAACACATGGACCGTTACAAAGCGTCCCGATGGTCGCCGGGGAACAGAGAAACAGGTACACGGTTCGCTGTTGGTAAAGTGCCAAACGGAGTGAAGCGTTCAAACGTTCCCCTCTGCGCGCACCTTTCTGTAATTCTTAAGATGGATTCAAGTATACGTTGAAATGATTAACAATAAAGTACTGAGTGTTCCTTTCTGACTTTCGCTGCGTTTTCATTGCTCTCTTCTTCGCTGGGGTTCATCGCGCGATCATTTGTCACATCCATCGTTGCGATAATTTTGGAATGATCGTTTGGATACGTCTAATTGTAAGCTTCATTTTTCAAGCCTTGGTAGCAAAGAATAGATTGAGTTTCGAGACTGGGGTACGAAGATTTGGGTTGAAATGTGATTATGGTTTGCTGTTACCATTTTGGTACAGTAATATTGATAGTGGAACGGGTGAATTATGGAACGATTGAATTGCTTTTGACAATTTCCAAATTTGGAACGGTGACGCGAATTAGTCGATTTAAAGAGCTGGAAAAATTCACATAATATGGAATAACGAGCTCTAGATTATAGATAAGAATTCCATGACGACGTATTATAAGAGGAATCTTTATTTGAATGGCGTCACCCTGCATTGGGACCTATCTCTGCTTCGAAGAAAATTGATAAGCTGGATGGTTCCTCGAAGTTAGCTTAACTGACGCAATGGGCTGGTGTCATAGAGCCTATAATAACCTTGCCGAAGAGTTCGAAGGAACACGCTGTTTTTGGCAATCCACCATGTGCAGTACGCGTCACAGGAAAACTCTAGTCTGCGCTTACACCATTCCGAAATTAAGAATAAAATCAAGAATAAAAATTCTTATTGAGATTTATTAACACGTTAACCCTTTGAGTAAATCGTACGGTGGGCCCGAGCCACGATAGTTACTTAAAACTACCAGCGCTCATTTCTACTTAGCACGTTGAACGCCACGCCGGTCCCTAGGGACTTTCCGTTCAGGCCTCGCCGGTCCGTGGGGCCCGGAAGAGCCCGCATGACGGTTATCTGTGAAGGGAACGGAACGGGACGTAGATTTTTATTCATAGCGACACTGGCAATAAGGACATAAAACAGTCCACCGCTTAACTAGGGCTATGTAGTCCTAGGGTCGCAATAGTGGACGCAATTTTGTGTTTCTCGGCCATAGCAACGCGTTTACGTAGAACACATTTATATGGGACTATAAATATAGGGACTATAGGTCCCTTGGCCCTATCAGTTGCTTTCGCCGAACGCATATATGAGTACCTCATGCCAAACTGATGTCGTCCACAAAGGGTTAAACACCACGCTGGTTTTACGTGCCGTTCCGTTCACGCCATAGTTAGCCGTCGCGCGGGCCTGAACGGAAAGTCCCTAGGGACCGGCGTGGCGTTTAACGTGCTCTACAAGTTCGCTGAAAATAAACTGAAGAAACATCCCAAATCCCCAGGAAAGTCGAAATTATTAAAAAAGTAAATATGTATCCAAGAGAAAATTCCTTATTATTTGTTTACTCGTTCTCGCTAACTCTTCGAAGAAACGACTGTCTTTCTCTCTCTCTCTCTCTCTATCTCTCACCCAAAGACCGGATGACGTCAACGAATTTCGCTGGACAAACACGCGAATAAGGAAAACGCGTTTAAAGAAAATTCCCCGCTATCGCTGCGCAATATTGCGAATCAGCACAGACAAGCATTGTTAAAGCTTTTGCGAGCCACGGAGCCGGGTATTTATCTCTAGAAAAATATTTGTTCGTCACGCAAAAGGGATAAGATAACCGCGTGAACCGTGTAAACTTTTTCGCCAATTTTAGTGACATATCTCGTGAAGACGTATTCTCTAACGCTAACAAGCACACGACATGGAGCCTCCGGAAAGGCACGATAAGCGGAAGTAGCTCTTATGGGGTTGTCCTGACGGAGTCATCGAATAACTTAACCCTTTGCACTCGAGAGACGCATCTTGGTCGCCATTTAATCAGATTCTAAAGATGGATGTTAATTAAAATATCAAATTTGCAATTATCCAAGGACACGTGGAATATCGGAGTAAAATAATTCTACGTCTTAAATTGTACACGATTTCTTATTTACCAAAATACATGATTCACAAAAATATCGTCGACCTTATCTTCATTAATGAAAAATATTCTACCGAACGATTACTTGAAAATAAAGAAGAAAGAGGAAAAAGGAAGACATTACTTGATTATGACGAACCATTTTCCATGAATGATGATGCGAATTCTTTGGAACCTCATGTACGGGTAAAAAGAAACAAATTAGGATCAGACTCTATTTATGTATCAACAAAATTATTTGAAAGAATTGACTAATTCCTTCCCTCGAAGTACAGGTAGCCCTCCTACAACATGGCATTCTATAACACGGTTTCACTATAACACTATAAGAAATAGAAAATAGAGTGCAAAGGGTTAAATGTATATCTGACACAGAGAGTAGGTGGCTAAGTGTCCAAAGGGCTGGACCACCGAGGACTGCTATCTAAAAAGGTGGCCGGAACAATCGTCGCAGGTATGACCGACTCCTCGAGGTGCTTCCATTAAACGAGGCGGCAGCACACCGGTCATAAATCACCGGCAAACCTTTTATCGGCACAATTCGGATAACATTGCTCCGCGTCGAGACGAGGCTCATTAATCTTTCCTCGAGCGAGTGCATGGATCAAGGTCCGATCATAGGCGACGCGCTTGGAAAATTGATGGCGATTTTATGGCCGCGTGGAAAAAGTCCCGCGATGCTTCCACGCTTCTCAGACTTCGAAACTTTTACCGTGCCGATTTTTTAAATCTCCGCGGATTCGTGTTTGCAGAGGCAGATTGATTGGCAGAGCATAGGAAAAAGATTTTTAGCTTGAGTATTTACGTAAAATGTTATTTCTCACGACTTAGGCGAAGATATCGGGAATTGGAAGATTCGAAATATTGAATGTACATTAGGTTTGAGTTTCACGGATGATATTGTAGATAATGTAAGACGCAAGCGTTGAAGACACGTAAAAGAAATTGGGGAAAAATTTGACAACGAATGTAGAATTCGTGTGATATTTGAATATACCTTGCATGGGAGTCAAAAAAATATTCCGAAGCGGGAATTAGTTCGTAATTAATCCATACTGATAATTAGTCGAACTGTATTTAGTTGATTCGAAGATGAAGTAAACAGGAGCACAAATATTTGAACTTTGAACGATTTTAGAAAAATTCAGCCAATCTTGAATACTTTATATCGTGCACAAAATTTCGAAGATTTAAATGAGAATAATTAAGAAATATTTTCGACTAAAAGCCATATCAATGAAAGTAATAAGGATAATCTCGGGAACGACTGAAATACATATTTGAAATTTACAAAATACAAAAATAAGGTATATATACATACGTAATATCGGCTGAAAAATATTTTTTATTATTTTATAGGAATCCCTGTACTCGTCGGATATTAACCCTAAATCGTTTAACCCTTTGAGCACTATGAACGCATATATGGGTTCTCATACAACCATTCAATCTGAGCTATGAACGCTGTATAGTTTTATAAAATAAGAATTTTTTAATAATTTACAATTGGTTTAGAATATTGCCGAAACGTGCTTTTTCTTGTATTTTAGTATTTAACCAATAAGTTTGTACTTTACGACTTAATTACGATAATCCTTTGCCAGGTGCAAAGATAGACCTAATCCTAACCCTAAATTTCGAAGATGGACGTTAATTAATATACGAAATAACGTAACAAGACGTGGAATGTCGAAATGAAATAATACTACGTGTTAATTTCTACTCGATTTCCTATTATACTGTTTCGAAAGTATCTTCTCCATTTTGGTAGATTTTCGAATAATTATTTTTCAAAAAAGACCGAATGCGAGGGGTTAATCCGGTGAAGAACGTAGACCTAAACCTAACCTTAAATTTCGAAGATGGACGTTAATTAATATACGAAATAACGTAACAAGGCGTGGAATGTCGAAATGAAATAATACTACGTGTTAATTTCTACTCGATTTCCTATTATACTGTTTCGAAAGTATCTTCGCCATTTTGGTAGATTTTCGAATAATTATTTTTCAAAAAAGACCGAGTGCGAGGGGTTAATCCGGTGGAGAACGCGTTTAACGAGCCGTGTACGTGCGTGGATTGTTTGCACAGAGAGGGGAAGTACCAAGACGCGCTTGAACGCGGAAATCACCGTGGCCGAACGATGGAACCGTTCGAAGACAGAGCCGAGAACGCGTTCGCACATCGGTCCCGGAGAGATAATGAAATGCACGACGACGAAATGGGCGGGCGTGTGCGCGCGTGTGCGTGGCCGCGCGACGCTGGTCGCTTACGTTTATATAATGCCACGGCCGGGAAAGTGAGACCATTGAAACGTCGACTGTCAAACAGGCACGCGTTCCTCCGCTCATCATCGCCGACATGAAGCTCTGCCTCACTGCTCTCCTCATCATCCTCGTCACCCTCTTGCACCCCGCTGGTAAGAAAGAGATCTAACGATCGCATCCATCCGCTTCGTACTAATTAGCCTAAATAACCTATCTTTTTATTTTTTTGTTTAAAATTATCTACTGGACGTTGTGGATTTGGTCACTCCATTTCTCGATTTTTTATTTTTTTTTTTTTATAGATATGAGTGTTAACACTATCTTATTTTTTAATCAAAATTCTGTGTTCGACGTTGTGATTCTGGTTGCTCGAGTTCTCCATTTTTCTTTTCATATAAATATGGACATTATCGTTTTATTCAAAATTCTATCAAAATTCTGTATTCGAAGTTATGGCTTTGGTCACTCGACTTCCCGATTTTTCTTTTTTTTTATATAGATATAAGTGTTAACACTATCTCTTTATTTTTTAATAAAAATTCTGTGTTCGATATTGTGGCTTTGGTCGCCCTACTTATTGATTTTTCTTTTAATATAAGTATTAATACTCTCTTTTTATTCGAAATTCTGTCAAGATTCTGTATTCGAAGTTATGGCTTCGGTCACTCGACTTCCCGATTTTTCTTTTAACGTAAGTGTCACTTGATGACTGGGGTAGATGAATTAGGGAAATTTTTAATGAGAAAATAAACGTAATAAGAGGATATATATTTCTGGACACCTCCTATTATTAATTTTTCAATATTCTCATTTATTCCATTTTCTTTGAAGTTTCCCTTCTTTCGTTTTTCCCTCTCTCAAGAATTTTTTAAATAGTTCAACTCGCATATCCATAAAATGTGTGCGAATTATAACATAATACATTATAACATAATGACAATAGTTTCTTTAGTTGTGGTCATAAATCCAGTATTAAATTAGCGTAGTGTAAAATAAAAATAGTTGGGACTTTTGTTTATCATTTAAAACCATTTTATCGGGGGTGGTATTGGTACCATTCTGCATTCGTGACGACTCGAGGAAAGAAACGCATGACTCGATAGTAAATACAGTCGTTAGGGTACTTTAAAATACCTAAGCCAAATTTTAATTCCTTAGAGACAGTGATTTATAATCAAGGATCGAAATGATTCTCCTAACAGCAGCATTGGTACCATTTTGCATTTGCAATGACTGGAGTAAAGTACAACGTGTATTTGGAAACGTTCGAGATATCGAGAAGCTTATGAAATTGTCACGGTGCTTAAAAATTCTCGAATTAAGCTCGAATTTTTTAAAAATATCGATCGGAGATTAATCATCAAAATTTCTTAATAATAGTACCATTTCCCATGTTGCAAACGCGATGACTGAAAAATAACGCGAAATTGAATACATTTGGTAAGAATATATCGAGATGTAAACGGAGTTATTACTATACTTAAAAATTCTTGAATTAAAATTGCATCCCTCAGACATGATAATTAACGGTTAGCTTTCTGATGAAATCTCCTAATTACAGTGGTACCATTTTTCGCGATTTGTGCGATTACCGACGAAAAATAGAGTTATTACACGATGCTTTAAAATTCGAAATTAAATTTTTCCCAGATAGTAGTCATTGATTGAAACCACAAATATTGAAATTATCACTTCCTATTTTGCATACATGATGACTACAAACAATTTATTTATTTATTTATTAAAATCCCCTTATGCACAAATGATACAGAGAATACCTATATAAAAATCTTATAAACCGTGTAATTAGTATTACGAAAAATAGCCAACATCCACTATAGTTACATACTTATACGAGTTACGTAAGTTCTAGTAACCTTACTCTGTTATTCACTTTTCGCAAGAAAGTAGGATGAGAGAAGAAGCCTAAATGATCGCAAAGCTCGTTAACTTTGGTCATTACACGATTAATACAGTTATGCGAACCATATAAAGTAGAAGGAGTCTTCTGACGTATTATTGCCATAACATTTTCCTACAGTTAATCTAGCTATCATCGAATAAATTTGGTAAATTTATTAAGACACTATATCCGGAGTCCTAAACAGACATGTCACGATACTCTAACAATTCTCCCATTAAAATTCGATCTTCGCAGTATCCTAATCACCGATTTCCATAAAAATGAACGATTCTTTCGGGAAAAAGTGCCAACGACCTTCGCCTCTACGGAACGACACCGTTTCACAAGAAACCGCTGTTCTATCCGTCACGCATTCCTTCGTGAGCGATAGAAATCAAGGTGGTTCGCTTCTCAAGGCCCCACACTCACGCGACCCACGCGACACTGAAACCTCAAAGTACCGAAGATAACAGAACCTACTGGAAAAGAATCCTCGAATTCGATGAAAATTCCCATGTAAATTCGATCTGAAGACCCGATCTCTGTCACCCGATGTTTAACCTCTGCTACGAGTTACCCTGCACTCGGGGACCGGAAAATAGCTAGCCTTTGATCGCTGGAAGAACGAGCGACCTTCTTCGCGGATATATTCACCCTGTCGAACCCTCCTCCGCAACCCTTCTCTCCTCTGTTCGCTTCGCTGACCCCAAAGGCCTGTCAAAACCTTCGGATCATCGTGGAAGCGTCGTGGCAACGATCGTTGGAGAGTTCTTGACAGCGTGCGCACGCGCTGATAACGTTAATATCCTGTTTCCAGAGTACGCGACGGCAAACAGCATATGTCCACGGGAGAATTGCCTGGATCCGTGGAAATGCGACGACTCGGTGGTCGGTGGGACGTGTCCACAATCGAGTGACACGTGTTGCAGCGTGGGTAAGTTGGTCAGGCGATTAAATACCATTTCCGACTTGTATCTCGAGCACGTGTAACGGTGATTAAACGAGGGGATTTTCGTTGCTAAATACCGGGCCTAAGTATTATATTTATTCCCGGCCGGGCGGTAATAAGCAGTTCCTGAAAGGGGCCCCGACGTACGGTTCGTTTGCAGCGTAATTTACGTATTTGCATGGTCCGCGCGAGTTCTTTATCGATGTCCGCGAGCTGGCATGGAAACGGCACGCTTTCGTTTATTCCCGTCACGGTAGAATATACAGAGAGAAGAGCGATGGTAATTATGAGGCAGTAACGATAACGTAACCGTGCGTTACAACTGGATATAGCAATTTCACGCTCGCCGGTACGGCACACACGCAACGCCGTAATTTCTACTGTGCCAAATCGAATACTCTCGAGATTCACTTTTGCGCGCCGTGAATTTCCAACGAACGGCCGACGAGTTAATTCATGCGTCACTGTCCGCACTTTCACGAGACATGTCGCTACACAGACCCGGCCACGCTCTCCTGTCGGCTCTCCTGTTCTATCTTTCCATTCAATTTTTTCCTTCCGCGTGAAAGAATGGGAGTCTCGCGGAAGAAGTATCGTCGTTGAAAAACGAATGCTTTCTGTCTGTTTGTTTCTATGGGTATGGAGAAAACAGGCTGGTTTCGTTTTATTTCACCTGGCTCCGCGAAACGGTACCCGATTGCAAATAATTACGAATTTTTCAGCTTTTTTACCGGGCTCCAATGGGGAATTAAAAATTGACCAAATGGAAAATGAGGATAAATAACCGTGTACTACTACTGGGGAAAAATTTTGGGCGAAATATTTATTAGTGATGAATAATAAATTATTTAGGATTTACTTTTTAGACGTGGAGTGATAAAGTATGGAGTGGGGGCATGAATATTGTTTATTTTAATTAACCCTTTGCACTCGACGATCTTTTGACTAAAAATGAGTAGAAGTTCAAAGATTTTCTGCTATAAAGCTGGCGATATTTCTTTCAGTAATAAATAAGAAATCGTATAATAATTAATATGTAGAATTACTTGATTTCGATAGCTCGTTACCGTTATAATATCTTAAATTTGACATATTAATTAATATCGATCTTCAAAATTTTATGTAATGGTGACTGACGGTCACCTCTCGAGTGCAAAGGGTTAATTCTTACTGAAATTTGGAGCTTCTGCAGTAAATGATAATTTTTTATTTTACATCGCGAGTACTCCTGTCAATAAAGTTACGAATTGACGTGTGTACTGTGTAATTAACAATTAATTAATAATTACAAGTAACCACACAGGAGATATCGAAATGAAATTCGCGATGCAGTATGGGCGTAGAACCTGAATAGTATTTACTTTAACCCTTTGCACTCGTGAGGCGACTCTCAGTCGCCATTTAATCGGAATCTAAAAATCGTTGTTAATTAATATCAAAATCATTGTTAATTAAAAATTGCCCAACGACGCGTGGAATATCGAGGAAAAATAATTCTACGTCTTGCAATTAATTTGCATTTCTTATTTACCGTTTTTGGCACAAAGCCTTTGAATTACTATGTTTCTGTAACGAAAAGATCGCCGAGTGCAAAGGGTTAATTACTTCTTACTGAAAATTGGAATTTCTACAGTAAATGCTAATTTTTTATTTTATAATACGAGTATTCTCATTAATTGCACCGAAATAAAATTGCGAATTCACGTGTATACTATACAGTTAACTGGTTGAGTAACGAATATGGGGCAATAACTAGATTACAAGTAACCACACAGGAAATATCGAAACGAAATTCACGTGACTTTTAAATTTAAATTTCGGCATAAATGAATAAAATCACTGAGCTCAGAAAAATATAAGAAAATCTTCGAATCGTTATGTCTGTATACCGAAAAAATCGAGTGCGGGTTAACACTTTGAATTTTGAATCATGTTGCACGGAAATTTTATTGCGTTTTAAATGAAACAAGATTGGTATATTTTTACTAATAAAAGAATCGCTTAATGTAAAAATATTGTCGCAATAAACCTTCCGCTTGCAACGATTGATGCACCTGTACTGGCATATTAAATGTTGCCAACACGAGTGAATACAAACCTATATACAAATATAAACCTATTTTATAATTATTATTCTATTCATAAACGAACCATGGTGACGTGCTTATAAACGCTTTGTTCGGGAGGAATAGCTTTAATCAATGATCATCCGTAATTGTCTTTTGAAAGTTTGTAAATACCCATAGGAAAAAATCTATACGATTATAAAAAGTGTTTGAGTAAGTAATAATAATGATAAATTGGATTAATTAATCCATATATAGCTCTGGACATATGTATATGAAAATGTGCATACAGTTATTGCAATATTTCGAGATGGGATTAGAAATGTCCCATCATGCATTACGGTGCATTAAAAAGGTGGGACACTTCTAATCCCACGGTGCCCCAAAGATATGATTTTTCACGTGCTCGTAAGACAGTCCTCTGAATAAATAATCGGAGAAAAGGGGAAAGAAATTGAAACTTGTGTCCACAGTGAAATCGGAACAGAGGACCCACTGCCGGCACTTCGGAGGTGAATGCATGGATTGGTGCAACGAGGGTCTGCAGCAAACGGTGTTGGACTGTCCAGCTGACAAGGTGTGCTGCACGTTAGTTTAATCGGCGAGGAGGGTAAAAACGGGCAGCGACAAAAGGCCTGTCCACCGTCTGGATCGTAGCGTTAATGTAAGCGATTAGCCTCGACATCAGCTGCGGATGCCGATATCACGCGACGCGACGCATCTGTGCTCGTAGCACGGTAGAAAACCGACCTAATCGCTTTCGCAATTGCAACGGTAAACGGCTGACGTGCGGGCATAGCCCGTATGGCGGATGAAAGATCGCGCGAGCCGCGTGATAATTGCGAATACGCGACGACCTGTCGCAGATGTGGCACTCGTCCGCGTGAAATTAGCGCGAATGCGAAAACGTTGCCCCTCACGATAGTCTGCGTGGCCACTGTGCGGCCGGGCAGTGTAACGAATGTAACGCGTGTAATTGCACGCTCACGAGCAGGAGAAATGTTTGTAATAAAGTACGCGTGTTCGACAGATGACCGATGCGAAATTTCATTCCGCTCCGCAACCTTTACAGCTTGTCGTCCAGTCATCGTCCAGACGTTTGACGAGGTTCGTCGATGATTATACGAAGCACTATCGAAATTAGAACACCGGGGATACTCGGAGACTTTGGGATTTCTTTATGACAAAAATATACGTAGGATATATTAGTGTTTATGAATCATAGCTGTAAAAGAGGAATTACAATTTGCGTATCGCGTTTGCGTTGCGACACTGGTTCAGTCACTGCCCCTAAAATTGTAATTCTTAAATTCCAGCTGAGAGAAATTGTGGGAAAGTTCTGCATTCCGATGGCAGTGCCTTTTGATCTCAAAAACCAGTTCACATTTTCTCGTACACAGTCCTAGCTCTCATAATTTCTCTTTTGCAACTGTGTCCCTTGACCCCTTGCACTATGCTGAAACTCCGAAGAAGCCCACCCCAGTTCAGTTCAGTCACTGCCCCCAAAATTGTAGGAGTTCTCAAATTCCAGCTGAGAGAAATTGTGGGAAAGTTCTGCATTCCGATGGCAGTGCCTTTTGATCTCAAAAACCAGTTCACATTTTCTCGTACACAGTCCTAGCTCTCATAATTTCTCTTTTGCAACTGTGTCCCTTGACCCCTTGCACTACGCCGAAACTTGGAAAAAGCCGTACCAAACCCGTGTGCCTAAATGGTCGGGGAAGGAGCCGAACAGCGGAGCCCGAGTGTCGGAATTTTAAACGCGATATCTTACGACTGAGTGCGAGATAGCCGTGAGTCCATTCGAGATATTCATACTTGGTCCGAGATTAATACCACGAGTCAGACTCGAGATATTCATGTTTGGCCCGAAATGTCGATAACGTGTCAGACTCGTGATACTCATGTTCGACCCGAAACGTCGATCACGAGTCAGACTCGTGACATTCAAGTTTGACCTAAAATTTTCATCACGAGTCAGACTCGTGAAAATAGTGCAAGGGGTTAAACACTTAAATATCCTACATATATTTATTGGTAATGCGACTAGTACAGTGGGTACTCGCGTATACAGTAAGGTAACGATATAAAGTAACCAACTGTAAATAAGTATGCTAGTTGCTCTGCAGCTGAAATAGGACTGAAAATAAAAGACAAATAGGTCCAAATGTGACGATCACATTCGTGATTTATTCTACAAATAGAATTTCTCACTGGCCAATAGTCTTCCCGAACCTGAGGCCCGGGCCTACTAGGTACCCTTACTGAAGAGTCCACTACTAGACCTAGAACGAAACGAAACGAAACACTTCGATCGAAAGAGTCGCCTAAGGCTTTCGATTATAGCCAAGACTCCCTGTAAGGGTTACCTATAGGCAGAGGGCCAACGTGACTAAGGTAAACCAGTCTCCCTGATGAACAAAAGTAACCCTAACCTCCATCTGACACCAGGAATCGTAAACAAGTGGCACATCTGGTATCCGTGCTCTATCCTTGCTCACCAACGCAAGATATCTCGTCATTGATCGCGCTTTTCCCGACAAAGTCAACGACACAACGTGTATCACCGCTCTCCAGTGTGGTCCTTGGTCGTAAAGGTGCACACGACCCGAGATCATTGTCTATATTGAACGAGTGAATCATTGTGCAGGGTAGAGAACAATCGCTTAGAGAGGGCAAGCCTGTCTTTATCTCCGTCTGGTAATTTAACTTCGACGTCTTACTCGTAGATAACGCACCTAATAATCTTCCAATCATACGACTCAAAGACCCGTCCTTAACGTCAAACACCGACTAAAAAGATCCTTCGCGCTGAGCCTACCAATCCTCCTCCGATCTTCTCTTCGCTACCAAACTGACTCAGATATCAAACTTTTGTGCCAACGAAAAGACGAATATCCATTTACTCGACATCGTGTTAATTGCCGCTTTTGAGGTTAAGATCCAGGTTAAGGATTTGATTAGGTTAAGGACATAATCTTCAGAGACGAATTTTTTTAACATGGAAAAAGGATTTCTTTATTGTTGAGGGATTCTATGGTGAATAATTCTACTGTGAAATATAATTGACACTAATTTAAAGAAACGTACGCATATGTCCCAGTATCCCTAAAGAGGTTAGAACACGTATGGAGTAGCTAGCGAACTAAAATAAAATCAGTTCATTGTAAGATAGATCAATATTATGTAATACACGAAGAATTCGAATGTGCAGATGTACAGTGAAAAATAAAAAGGCAGGAGAAAAGGACTTAATGGTATAGCGCGTGGATGCTGGGCGCAACCGCCATCATGGTTGCACTGTAACGAAAAGGGCGAAAGAATATTTGGCTAATTTCGCGTAAAATTGGTAGGAAACTCGGGTGGAAAGGACGCGTCGCGGGATAAGAATCGCGTGGATATAAATGGAGAACGGCGGTGGACGACGACGCGCTGAAACGGAGCAGGAAGGACGCGCCGGGGAGCGAGAAGCAGGAAGAAATAAGAAACGGCCGGTAGGGGCGCTGGTAGCCGTGGGCGATGCAGCAGCGCTCTCCGGTGCAGGAACGCACGCACAGGAGATTTAGAGCGGTGTTGGTCAGCCCTCGAGGGGTCACTGGAAGAATCGAGAGAAAGGAGCAGGGCCCCTCGCGGCGTCCGCTATCGTCGGCCATCTCCGAACGGGAGATAAGAGAGCGCGGAACGGTGACGCATTCGTCGACGCGTATTTTAACGAAGTGTCGGCGTCTGAGACGAGTAACGAGCGAGAAAAGTTGCGCGCCGGCACGAGCGTCGTCGCGATGAATCTCCGACTGCGTGGACCGGTGATCGAGCAGGACGCAAGGAGGCGAGAAAGAAGAGGTACCTTGCCCCGGGCCAGACACGAGGAACATGTGACACTAAATATAGAAACACGCCGCGAACGAGACGGAGGAATTCTTCGAAAGGTAACGAAATAAACATCCTCGTTTCCGAGGGAAAAGGAGAAATTTGAAAAACAGGGAGAGTGGGAGAGGGGCCCACTCCGGAAATGGTGCGAGGAATTGGTATTTGCTAATTGCTAATAGTATTATTATTATTATTACGACAGTATCGAGATTATGGGTTTATAATTGTAAAATACGATATGTAGAGATACTGTTTGATTGGCAAATATGAAGAATAAGAAATGTTATTTTATTCTAAAATATATATTTCTGGTGACACCATTCTCACCCTTGTCAATAGATGGATTCTTACTTGAAGGGGGTTCGAGGACTTTCTCGCAAGTCCTCGATAAAAACCTCCCGTTTCCTACATATACACTTCCCAAACTTTCCAATAGTATCCCTGTCTAAGGCAGGGCCCGCTAGGTAGCCTTAGTGATGAGTCCGCTAATAGGCCCAGGACGAAACGCATCCATTCCCTCTTCTTTTATTCCTTCTAGCACCACCACCACATCTAGGATACTTGTTGACCATCTGACTACACAACCATGGGTGAGGACCCCCCCACATATTTATTACGAGCTAAATGAGACTAGGAGTAAAGTATAAACTAAAAGACTAGTCTGATAACTGATTTATGATTACGCAACCGATCATTAAGAACTCCATAAAGGACTGTTTCAAGACAGCCCTTGTACCCTCATTTAAACCTAGCAGTCTCTCTTCTTTCACATCCAGACTTTCTTTCCTAATTGCGAATGAGTCAAAAGTAATCAGAGAATGAAGGAAAAAGGAAAAGCAACAAACAGATTTCACACGAGAGGAAACAAGCTAAAATTTAAAGCGAAATAAGTGGCTAAAACATAGGTAGCCTAAAGGAACTTGATTGGAACACTAGGACTTGATATAGGATTTGATACACAAATTTACTACTCCTACTGAATGATAATTAAAACAGTAAATTTGAAATAAATAAGTTTGTCGAAACGAGGTAATTGTTAGAAAAGCACAGGCAGCTGAGCCCAATGAAGCGAGAGGCAATACCGAATTCGATACCGCTTTCTTCGATATTCGATCTAGCAACTTGTATTCTATAAATTTAAATCGACCATGCGCAGTTAATAATAATTAAAGCGGTAGAACGAAAATAAATGGATCCATTAGAGCAACGTAATTGACAATTAGAGAAACATCGATACCCGATACACGAACGCTACATACGATCTACAGACCTGTAACAGACAGAAATTTACTATACGCAATTAGCGATAATTAAAATAGTGGAACGAAAGTAAGCAGGTCTGTAAGTAGTAGGTCAGTAAACTGCAATTAAGTCCACTGTACACGGTCAACGAACGAAACGCTAAAATAAAACCAATCCATTGTGACTTCCATTTCTATCTATAAACACCATTTTCTCTGATCTATTGAAACAGAATCCTTCCGCCTGCTCTAACTCCTCCGCATACTTCCGCGATTAGCGGCGTTCGGCGATCGCGAGATAGGAAAAACCGGTACGCATTTTGCTCGGCTGACGAGGGGCGAGGAATCCGTAACGCGAAGAAAGCGGAATTATCGTGGCGAACGGTACGAATAAGGACGGCGAGACGACGACGACGACGCCGACGACGACGACGACGCCGACGACGACAACGACGACGACGACGACGACGACGACGACGACGACGACGACGACGACGACGAAGATGATGAAGAAGAGGTACACCTTGCCGGAGGCGCTGCAGGCAGATGCCGGTACCTTGGTACGTGTACTTACATATACACGCGTAAGAGCCGTTTCGGTTAGCCCGGGGGCGAAGGCGCGGAATCATGCAGCGTAGAAGAAGAAGGAGGCCCCCATCGTTGTGTGGAAGATGCCCTCGGGACCAGACGCGGAGGTGTACCCCACCACGAAGTACGGCAGAGCAACGGTCGTTCCGCTGCGGGCACGGAAACGAGAGGAGATAGCGGCGAGCTTCGTGCGTCCTCAGCGCCCCCACCCCCACCAGTGCGGCCCTCCGCGGGCAGAGAGGGCTTGCGCGGCGGGTGGTGGGGGCAGGGAGGGACTCACGTTGCCCCGCGGACATCCAGCGAGACAATACGCTCCGTGAGGCCTGCGGCGACTTCACGACGGACCGTGCTCGCTTCCCTCGACCCCCTCAACCCCCCAGCCCACCACCCTCTTTCCCCCACTTCTTCCCCGTATCGCACTTTCAGCCCTGCCTCGCTCTCCGCGCGTTATCCCAGTCTTGTTTTATCGTTTTATCCGCGAACCTTCGCGGCCTCTCGGACGAACGGTGGACGCTGTTCGTGCTTTTTGTTAGCGGAGAGACGGTTCCGAGCTAGGTCATTTCGATTTTGCGATCGAGAGATATAGCAGAGATATAGAAATTTTTTGACCAAACTGTACGCGTGTGTCGTTTCGTCCGCGGAGCTTTGAGATCTATGAGAACGGTCGGGTATTCTCTTCTGGGAATCAATTTTTAATTTTGCATCGAAAATAATGAATTTGAGTGGTGAAATTTTGATCAAATGATTTGTTCTTTCGTTTTTTATTATACGTATACTCAGTTATTTCGTATCTTTCGTTTTGCCATCCATCGATTATTTGACCTAGTGTTAGTCTGTGGTTTCTGTTACTTGGGAAAATAGTTTCAGGAGGAATAAATTCTAAGCTACTCCTGAAATTTGATAAAGTAATTGTAGAAAAACTTAAACTATACGAAATCCTTCACACTCCGTGGGTCAGTTCGAACACTTCCAAGCTCAAGAATTTGCGAGCTCCTCGTTCTGTGATAGATCAGAATAAGAATAAGGAACAAATATAAATTTTAATATTTCTATTCGCACACCGATAACAAAATCCAACACAGTAACTCGTTGAACTCATCGATAGAATTATAACGATGCACTAGGAAACTAACAGAGATCGGTCCAAACACTGCCAATTCGAGGGGTTC